GCCACACACAGCTCTATGATCGATACGCCCTGTTGCACGTGGGCTCTCTATGGTGCCGTCACAAAATGGACACCGGTAGGTGTGCTTGACACTGTTCGGGACCGCGCCCCTGATTGCGCTGTTGTGCACCCGAAATTGATGGCCACACACACCTCTGTGGTTGATACGCCCAGTTGCAACTGGGCTCGCTATGGTGCCGTCACAAAATGGACACCGGTAGGTATGCATGACACTGTTCGGGACGGCTCCCACGACGGCGCCCTTGTCAACCCGAAATCGGTGACCACACACCTGTCTGTGACTGATGCGACCAGTTGCCATTTTGCTTTCGATGGTGCCATCACAAAACGGACACTTGTACGTATAGTCGCTCGGACTTTCTTTGCCTTCCGATCGGCCTTTCCTCTCTGCATTCTCCGCTGTCGCCTGTTGTGCCTTCCCTTCCGGCTTTCTGGTGCTCCCTTCCGGGTTTGACGCAGCACTTCTATCAGTTTCTTCACACCACTGTTTGCCAGCCACGGACCGCCCTGCTAGTTTGCGTGCCGCGACGACACGCGCAATCTCGGCTTGTACCTCGGCGAGCACTGTGTTTTTTCGTTGTTCCTCGCACTTTCTGCATGTGCGCACCAGCCTTGCATTGGCTTTGGCTGCGGCACTGCATGCCACCACCAATTGCACGCAGCGGTCGCATGTCTGTCGGCCATTCTGATTTTTGTTTGTCTGTGTGAAACTGTGGAACTCTGCTTTGTTTTTTTGGGCACCACAGTTCGTACACGTCCACTGGTGCCGTGTTCGGCTCGTGCACTGCTTACAGATGCGGCGGGCAGCATGTCGCGCTTTCCAGGCCGCGGCAGGAAAATCTTTCTCCAGGCGTTTTTCGCCACAAAGATGGCACGGTTTCCTTGTTTCGCAGGTGCGGCACACGCGGTAGAAACTACACCGGTTGTGCTGATGCTTCTCTGAAAACGCTTTTTCGGGCTGCCACAGTTTGCACACGTTGCACTGCCATGGAGTGCCTACAGCAGCACGACGGTGACTGCATTCCCGACAAATTCGTTCCTCGTCCGCTCGGCGCCACTGCCCCACAGTGAAGCCGGCTTTCTGCTTCCTTTCGTTGCAGGCGACGCACCGGCGTTCCTCTGCATACTTTGCCAGCAATGCCTTCCAATCAATCATGTCTCCCCGCCAATGCTGCAGCAATAACTCTCTTCCAAGTGGCACTCCCTTCTGATACGGACCCGCCGCAAACGGACGAAAGATGACGATAGTCTCTCTGCCTTGCACACGGGTGATGGCAACATAGGCAGTGAAAGCATTCCCGTTGTCTGCCAAACACAAGTCTGCGATGACACCTTCCCGAATCGTTTGGCCTTGTGCCACATGGGCCGTGATTGCGAAACCGGGCGCGAGGGGGAACTGCGTGCGCGTCACGCGAAGTTCTGGTTTGCGTCGCTGCCGATCCAAGTACCAGCACCGTCGCATCGGTGCCACCGGATATACGTTGTCTTCAGCGAGCCCGTCAATCCGCCATGCCGTGGAAGTTTTAAAGCGGACATATATGATCGACGGCAATGTCTTCCATATACTCGCACTGCCACTTTCTGTTGCTGGAGTTGCTGTCCACCCAACTATAGTTTCTTGACATCCTTTCAGAATTCCCCTGTGCCTATCTAAGTGATCCGTTGCTCTTACTGGCATACCGATGGCCAAAGGCAACACGCCGTACAGTCCGTTGCACTCCTTATCGTGGCGTTGCAACCAGACAAGTTTTTCTTCCTTCAGGTCACCTTTCTCTCGCAATACGGTTGCCGAAGCCATGTCCCGGGCAATGGCAAAATGAACCCTTTCTTGTTTCTGCTGCGCCCACTGCCTCGCTCGGAGTTTGTTCACGTGGTACTTTACATCGTTGGTGCTGAATATGGCTACAGCATTTTGGAACGCACCCGAATACCGTGGATCTGTTGTGCTTGCTGCTACAAGATGTCGGGAGGCGCGATCCAGTGCACAGGCCCCACATTCAGTCTCTAAGATCTGCTCCGGGCTCATCGCTGCAGAGGCTTGGGGCATGCAGCCTTCGTTCCCGCACGTGGGTACACCTCCGACTGCGCTGCCGCAGACGGTGGTGGGTTGCCCATGCAAGAAAGCATGATTGTCGTTTGACAATGTTCCTGTTCGTAGCTGCTTTTGGACTTCCTCTAGCCAAGCATCCTTGGTTCGTTCACACTGCACCAATTCAGTGACGCCTTGCATCCCTTCTTCGCAACCGCCCCAGATCAAATTCTGCCCATGCAAGCCGGGGGCCTGTTTCGAGACCTTCTTTCCTCCCAGCAACTCCCATGGGATGTCTCCGATGAAAGTACCCTTTGGCGGTGGTAACTGGTACAAATCTCCGGCCAGAATTATGTTCAGGCCCCCAAACGGTTGCACACGTCCACTGGCTTCAGTGAACTTCTGTGGGTGCAAGTCTCGCACCAACTCGCGGCAACGTCGCTCTAGCTGTGCCAAAAGTTCTGCACTGATCATGCTGAATTCATCGATGATCAACCATCGCCATTGGAGACTCGTCGTCGTTAATTCCAGCAATCTCTGGCGGCTGGTCCCTTTGTCGCCCGACCAGTCCAATCCGAAGGCATGATGGATGGTGTCGCCTCCGACGAGGTCTGCCATAACAGCTTGAAACGTTGCAACCTGAAAATGCACTCCGTGTGTCCATCCCAAAACTTTTTCAAACAACCCCTGTCGCAGCAACTTCAAGACATGTGATTTCCCGGTTCCCGGGCCCCCGTGCAGCACCCACCGCAGTGGCTTAACTGCCACAGGCTGCGCTGGTGTAGCGAAAGTCCTCTCTCCGTCCATTTCTGCCACAATTTGGTCGGCAACTTTCCGGCAGAATTCCTGCTGCTCCGCATTCGCAGCGCCGTTCGCTAGGCTAGCAACCCATCCGTGGACTTGCGCTGGCCGGCAGCCGGCTTGCGTCCCTAGTGTGCTGCCTTGTGCCTGGAATGGGCTGCTCTGCGGCTCGCTCACTGGCGTGCGTTTCCGCGCTGCTGCGAGAATAGCTTTTGGACAATAGCCCTCGTAGGTGCTGCAATCCGTTCGGTGCTGGACCCTCTCCCCTGGCTCTGTTTGCCACAAGGCTTCCGCTGTAGCGAAAGCTGCGGCGGTATCGACGAACCTCTTGTCCTTCTTCGTTTTGCTGGCCTGTTGGCGCTGCGCGGGGGCTAGCGTCCCCAGGGCACGTGGTAAATCCGTCGGATGCAAAACATACTCGGAGTCCACATCCTCGTTGTCGCTATTCATCTCCTCGTCGGCAGACGGACGGACACGGTGCACAGAGAGGAAATTTGCCACATGCTGCTTTGTCTCTTCACTTGGCAGCCGCAGCAACCACTCACGTAGCCCGTCTTCCCAAGTTCCCCCCTCTGGCTTTAGGTTTGATAGCAGCGGCACCTGGTTCGTGGCTGCCATGGCGTCCAACGTCCAGGCCCGAAAGTACACACTGACAATCTGAGCGTTTCGTTCCGTGTCGTCCCTTTGGCGACTCGGTGTCGGAGCATGCGCGAAATGCGGGCACGCCGGTTGGCGTTTCCGCTGTAGGTACCAGTTGTGGCGAAGTGCTGCTGTTCCTCCGCCCGCTGGAAAGCACACCCGGTCCATTCCTTCCAGCAGGCGAATCTGATAGTCTACTTGCGGACGCAATCTGGCAGCAGCCGTCCCGCCCGTCGCCAATTTCCGTCGGCCCGTGTCGGTGACGGTCACATCCCAGGAGCTCTCTCTGTTATTCTCCCATTCCTCCTGATTATATGGCACACGTGTCGCCACAACATCCCAGTACATCGTGAATTCATACGGAGACAGCCACCATACTTCAGATGCTGTCGGCCGGTGACCGTACGCTTGCACCGTCACGTCCTCTCGCAGATGCCGTTCCCCCGTGTCTGGTGCTGGTCGTGTTTTCACATACCTTGTTCTCTGGCCCCATGGCCTCTCGCCACGCATGCTGTCGTACATGCCCAAGTAAGCTTGGCCGGGAAAATTTTTGAAGGATGTCGTCGACACCCGTTCTGCCGCAACAATTTGTCCTTCAACATGATTTGCCCGCAGATTGCAACATTCCACTTGTCCACGCACAACCCCTTTGCAATAAGCATCACTCAGGAACCGGCTCGCATGTCGTTTGCCTATTTCCTTAATGTCTCTGCTTTTCAAATTGGCTTGCAGTGACAGGTGCCCTTTTTGAAACTCTTTGATTTCGTGGAATCCCATGGGTTGGTTCTTGGAACAATAATCGCTGCAGTACCCGGTCTGTGCGTCTTGCGCCCTTTGTACCGCAGCCACTATATCCCTCGTGCATCTGCTGACAAAGTCCCTTGACATGACTGACATGCGTACGGCAGACGATACTACTACTACTACTACTACTACTACTACTACTACTACTCCTGCTGCTATTACTACTACTACTACTACTACTACTACTACTACTACTACTACTACTACTACTACTACAGCTACTACTACTACTACTACTACTACTACGACTACTACTACTACTACTCCTACTCCTACTACTACTACTACTACTACTACTCCTACTCCTACTCCTACTCCTACTCCTACTGCTACTACTACTACTACTACTGCCACTGCTAGTACTACTACTACTACTACTACTACTACGACTACGACTGCGACTGCGACTGCTACGACTACTACTGCTACTACTCCTGCTACTACTCCTACTACTACTACTACTACAACTACTACTACTCCTGCTGCTACTACTACTACTACTACTACAGCTACTACTACTACTACTACTCCTCCTCCTCCTACTACTACTACTACTACTCCTACTCCTACTCCTACAACTACTACTCCTACTACTACTCCTAACTTGCTATTCCCATCAATGCGAGGACACAAACTGCCGTTCCTGATGTTTGATTCCGGGGTCGGCGGCAGGGGCGGCAGCCCTTAAATTAAACATAATGACTGTCCTTCTCGCCGAAGGCTGCATCCAGGAACTTTTTCGACGCCTTGCCACGACACCAGCAGGACTTGCAGGACAGGCTTTGGGGACACATCTCCGGCTGAAAAGCACATTGCGTCGCCTCCACGGCGTCAGAACCATCAGCTTTCTCCCAAGCTTCTTGGGCAGGACCTGATGTCAATCCATTCCACCAGAAAACATAGGCTAAAGTTGTATTATGGCATATTATAGCACTGTACTGGTTTCTTGAAAGACTCACAAGCGAGGACACAGCATGATACAGCCTGAATGCTTGGAGACTTGCAGACTAAAGTAATGTCTCAAGTGAAAGACGCAATGTTCAAACTTAACGCTGACAAAGGCTAACATGCTGAAACGCACCTTGGACTGTCGCTCCCTTGTCATCACGATTGAGCTTCGCCGCTGCTGGCAAGGCCGCATCACCTCTGATGCGCATAGGACAGGAAGTGGTTTGCATTTTGAATAAAGAATGCGTCGATGTTTGAAAGAACGTGACATTCAAGAGCCAAACTTTCCGATATGATGTCAATGTTCATGTTACAGATGTTACAGTACTCATGGGATCTAACTTCGGACCATACATCCATACATGGATACAAGTGCTGCGACCCCGGTGCCTTGCAAGGCTCTAATCCAGGCAGCTACAGGCAGCAGAATGGCTGCCAAGTTCTTCCTCCACACAGCCACCAGATAGTTGGAGCATGGTACAATGTGATGAACACTGGAACATAGCCACAATCAAAGTCTGTCTAGTCTGTCTAGTCTGTCTAACCGTCTAACCCTGAAGGATGCAATAGGATGCACCAGGTGCTCAGAACTCGGTACACAAATTCTACAGCAACACCCGACCTGGACAAGGACTTCCCAGGCGGTACAGCATCCTGCGTGTCAAGAGATGTGAAGAGGCCAACAGCTCCAGCCCAAGTTTCTGGTGATTCTGGTGAGTTTAAGGACTAGCAAAGGACTTTGAAATCCTTGAATGATCTTGAATGATCTTGAATGTATAGAATTGTGTTGAACGGTAGAAGCAACGTCAGATAGAGATAGGTCAGCAAGGTAAAACAGGTAACAGCAAAGTTGTTAAGATGTGGCAGAAAGTCGTGCACCAGGCCTCAAATAGGCAGGGAGCCAAAGCCACTGCCTTTGATCGGAAGTGGAGAGATGCATCGATGCCAAGCAACAAGTATCATCAGCACACGTTCTTCTGGTTCTTGATCTTTGTTTTCATTTCTGAGTCATCTGAGTAGCTTGCCATTCGGTTCGTGGCGTCTTCGTTCAAGCGATAAATGGTATCACGAACGGCCGGGTTTGAAAAACGCTCGAGGACGGTTTTGCACCAGTCGTCCTCCATGTTTGCACTTGAAAGAAGTGGCATTGGTGATGCCCTCGGGCTGTGGATCCGTCTTTTTGCACATTCTTAGTTTATGTTTCAATTGCTGTATATAGTTTTAAAGATTTTTAAAGCAAAGCAGTTCACGTGGCAGGCTCTCTTTGTCACAGCACTTGTCTCCCATGGCAAATGCAACCACTCCACAACCAAATACCTCTATAATACCTCTATAATATGATCTCATATGTCTGTTGTGTGGTATGCATTGGTATGCAATGACAACAAAATCAGTCTCCTTCTTCAGACCCTTGACGGGACGAACCGTTTGCCCAGCAGCTTTCATGTATGCCTTGGACCCAGCTGCAACTGTGATCAGTGTCTCTTAGAATCAAAACATGGTGGGCACAACAAAGCGGCCTAGCAGCTTGAGTAGATCTCGACTTGGCAAATATTTTGATGGTATCCATACATATCCATACTGTACATGCAGCATCTATCCCAGAGGTACAGAAGTAGATGATCCTCTCTTTCAGGATCATCTGAAGAGGGCTTATGGCTTATCTGAATTCTTATCATGGCTTATCATGGCTTATCTGAAGCACTGTGTAATTTAACCTTCAACGTCAGAGCTGTCACGGAATATTCACGGAATACATTGAATACATCATGCAACCATGTTGCCTTTAAAAAGTTGAGAATTCTACGATCAGCCACGGCTTCGTGAACAACTTCGTATCCAAGCAGTGACGAGGGATATGAAAGAGCCTGCGACCAGAGTAGGCTGACTTAATTCAGCATATTCAGCTGTTAAGACCCTGAGGAAATGAGACTTTTGAATACTTTTGAGGCTTCTGCCCATCGAAATATTGTAAGCTGTCAGCCCAAAGTCGACGGTCATGTCGTTATGTCTTAAGGATGATTGTTGACTGAAAAAACAGAAGGCTTGTGGGCGCCAGGACATGGTTCCTTTTCAGGTGTTCCACCAATGGGATCCAATGGGCACAAGATGGAAAAAGTGGGCTCCAGATTGTCTGTAAAGAACTAAGTTGAACTTGCTCAGCAGCAGGTACAGATAGGTACAGTACAAGTAGCAGCAGGATACATGAAGATCTTGGCGACAAATATTGAGTTCTTGTTGAATCTTTGAATCTATCTCCCTTCCCTCCCTTCTACACCTGGTGTACGGCATTCAACAGTCTGAGCTTCAGCAGTTCCTCAGAGAACGGACCCTCACTCTGTCAGTCATGGAGTCAGGGTGGTGCACTGAGTAGGTGACGTACGGAAGGACATCCTCAACAAAGAGGCACTTTCCACTTGGTGACCTCGGGGCCAAGGATGAAAATCAAGGATGAGAAATGAAAGAGAAATGAAAGAGAAATGAAAGAGAAATGAAAGAGACTATTAGAGACTATTAGAGACTATTAGAGACTATTAGAGACTATTGGAGACTATTAGAGACTATTAGAGACTATGAAATTCTTCAAGATTCTGCAAGAGAGTATGAAAGGTTTTGCATGGTTTTGCCAGGTGTTCAGGTCAATATCGTTGCAGATGTTGCAGTCCATACAGTAGCAGCGTTTAGAAGCGAACTTGTCCCAAGATGGCCGTCCAGCTGGGAATTTGTCCTGCACAGATTTCAAGTGAAGCCACCGACTCCACCTGCAACCGATCACTCCCCACATTTTCTCACGGCCTCAACCACCCAGAGCAAGAAGTCTTCACCTCGGTCGATCACCATCAGTATCTGTATATCTCAGTATCTGTATATCAGTCTCTGCGCTAAAAGCTGGCATCAAACCCTGAGATACCAGCTCACTACTGGCCATGCATCTTCAATGCCATACTTCTCCTTCAGTTCATTCTTGACTTCCTGGAGACAAACGCATCGGTCAAAACGGCAACTGCTTTTTTCAATCATCTTGCATGAAAATCTCAGCTTCAGGATTCTGTACAGACACTCAGGAAAGCAAAAAGCTCCTCGGTCGTCGCCGGAGTGATTCGATCCACCATCGAGTTGGGAAACCTGAGCAGACGTTTGGAAATTCGATGCTCTGTCTCCAATTTGTTCGATTGGAACTATTGAAAGTGACTGTATATATTCGGATCAATCTGTGCAGAAGAAAATCTACCCTCGGGGTTTTCAGACCTCAATGGCATCTTCAAGCCGAGCAAGCAAGCTCGACTCCGTTACTTCTGATTGCCAATTCCACCTTCACTTTGGGCAATCAAACCAAACGCGGGCGTTTGACAATGAAAACATATCAAAACCAAGCTACTTTACATTCTCCGTAATCCAGGATTTCAAGCTGCTGTCGACTTCTCCTGTACTTGGTGACATTTGAGAAAAAATGTCCGTTGCTGAAAAGTCCATCCAATCCCAAGCGTTCCCACAGTCGGTCGTTCCTGCCATTTCCAAGACAGCCATCTTTGCCTTGCAGCCGTTCTCCTGGGCAAGTTCAGGGAGATAAGGCTTTGAGGGAAACATTTGATATCATTTTAAAGATCCACAAAGTTTTTGTTTACTTGGCTACGGAAGGTTTGTTGAATGTGGAACCCAGTTCAACATAGCAACCAGACCTCCACACCACAAGCAGGAACCTGTCGCTGTCGCTCCGATTGCATCCTATTGCCACCCAAAGTGTATCAAACCGGGACTTCTGCCTGAAATTTGTAGGAGGTATGAACCAAAGTCCATTCTCCGCAATCAAGATCATCGCTCTGCACTACCCTAAAGTTCTCTGGCTGGATCGCTGAACTTCATGCTTCCTAAGCCACCATCCACATTTTGCTGATTCAAGTGTTCAATCGTATTCAATCTACATGGATACATTTCCGAACATTAAACATGACCCGCAGAACCCAAATTTCGCACAACATTACATAATATCTCACTTTTACCACAATTTTCACATCTCTCTCATCAACTTCAACTTCACATCTCTCTCATTTTACATCTTTTTCACACTACGTAAAATAAAAGAGTGTATATAATATATACAGTAATTGGATTTACCATGCAAAACGCCACGTTTCTAGTTTCCCAGTAACTCTCGGCAACAACCCTTCGCAGACTTCATCGAGGTCCGTTGAAAAACAAAGTCATTTTGTGCGACATGCGTGGGCTCCGGGCAAACGTCCGGTTCCGTGCGAAACATTAAAGCCCTGCAAATGGCCGTCACCAGCCGAGGTGCCTGCAAGTTATCACAGCTCAGAATCACAAAGCCCTCGCCATTGTCTGCCTGTCGTCTTTTGGCCTAGGCTACAAGAAACATCAAGAAACCAGATGCATCCTAGGTATTCCTAGGTCCCATTATGTAATCAAATCACTCTAAGAAAAACTCAATGGAGAGATCACTATGGCGTTTAGCCTCAGGGGTCTCAGATTCCGACTGCGGCAACCAAAAATCCTCACAGGGAAAACAATTCAACCGGGTCCGACTTGCAAGTTATGAAAACTGAAGCAAAAAAAATGTAAATTATGAATCATATATTCTTATCCAACGAGGTATAATTCGACTACTGCTTGGGCGTGCTCGAGACACATTGGCCCCAGCAATCTGCCAAAGTCAAACTCTTCTTGGACTGCAACAGTTGCTTTCACTTTGCCCAGATCCTGCAGCTGTCTTTAAAGAAGAGGATCCGGATTTGAGGGCCGCCAGATCGCCTCAAACCACTGGAAACCTTGCTGCTTCACTGAGGCTGATCACTAGCTGCTTGATTTGGCAGGACTTGTGCACAACATCAGCTCTGGGTGCAAGAGCTGGCCACTGGAGCCGCAACACTGTCCAGCTCTCCCGTAGCAAAGTTAACAAAATACCTGCAGAGTTCGTGGCTTTGAAAGGGTTCAGGTTAATACCTTCTCACAGTAACTACTGTAGGTCTTTCATCATCTTTCCACTTTTGCAAATCTGCGTTAACTCGTGAGGCCTGCTGCAATCCAATCGACATAAAGCCCCTCCCCCTTTCTTGAAACTTATGGGCGGACATGCTAGTGCCTACCCAGAGCGTCGTGATGGGTGGCATACTTTCAAGAGGGCCTTCACAAACCCGATCATGCCAGTTTGTTTTGAACAGGTCCGATGCTAGGGGTATAGGGACAAGAAACGAGCATAAGAGGCTTTGTCGCCAAAAAGTTGTATTTAAGCTTTGCGAAATGATTCGAGCAGGGAATGGCTGCTGCTAGCAATTTCGTATAATTTCGTCATATATAAACACAACGCCACAAAAAAAAGACCGGGGAAAAGATACCTAGAATTAAAATGAATTGAACAGAATGTTTCCAAAAATCGTCGGAAAGTGTATTATAGAGTAGACAAAGGTGTCAGCATGCGTCAGCACAAAAGCCCCACGGAAGCCCGTTGCCAAAGTACCCCTTCTCAGTGATGGTCAGAGTAACCTTAGCCAAGGCAGCTTGGACTTCGCGAAAGCCGCAGAATTTTCTTGCTGTCAGTGTTTTGCATGATCCATCCCACATAGAGCCAAGCAACGTTGTTCGGAAAGATGGGATACTGGAGTCCATGAGTAGTGGTGGGTCATGAGACAAAACCATTCAATAATTGCTTGATTTTCTCCCAACCTGCGGGATCTCGCATCTATTCTCCCGCCTAGTCTCAGTATAGAAAGTAGCAAGAGTTTCTGATGAGAAAAAAAGATACGGCATACAATAGGCAGGTACTCAGGTCCTCTAACATCTGACAAACCCCATACACAACCAAATCCAAGCTACAATTTTTGTCTCTGGAGCACACAGGGCATCCAAGACCTTTGCAGATGAACGAAGATTCACTTGTTGACGTTGGCAGGCAGAGTGGCAAACATTCTGTTTGTATGTTGTATGATGTAGATGTTTGTTTCAATTTGTGCTGTTTGAATCTGTTTGAATCGGTTTGAATCTGTTTGATGTTTTTTCATTTTTTTTCAATGTGTTCGACATCTTTTCGTCGTCTTCTCTTTCGCTCTGTGATTCTGCGTGTCCCGTCGTGCCTTGTCCGGACTCTCCGGGGCTAGAATGAAATTCGAGTGACATCCTGGGAATGCGAAACGGTGCAAATGACCGGACAGCCGCCAATCAGTGCAAAGATGCTGAAGTACATTAACGTTCCATATCTAGGTCAGCGAAGATGGGTTGCCGCGCTATTGACAGAAATCATCAGACCAGATTCAAAGGCGTTCCCTACAATCAACTTGCATGAGCATCAAGAATTGGTAATAGATACTGGATGATACTGGCAATCCAAGATAATCCGAGAGCTCCCCGCACAGATTCGTTGCGTTTTGTTGCTAGCTCTCAGACAAGGGGCCCATCACTCGCACTTTTTCGGATGAAGCACCTGCACCAGCTGGGCTATTGAAACACACTTCATGTACTGAGCTAGTAATTCAAATAAGGATGGATGTGCATTTCATGATCATTCAAAATCAAGTACATCAAAACTCAATCATCTCCCTCCTCATCTCAGCATATAGCATCTTTTTTCGGCCAACATCGTTGGGTCTTTGAGTTTTTGTTGTCAAAGCCAACAAACCGGGCGTCAAAACATACTGGATATCTCCTTACATACGCGTTTGTAGTCGTGACTTCAGTTCCCACAGCCTTTCTCCCACAAGGTGTACAGCATGTCTTGCTCCTCCAAACAAGCTGTCTTGGTAAATCAGATGCAAAGCACATTAGTCAATCATAGTCAATCCACAAAATACGTCCCATGCATGTCGACTGCATGGAGAATCCATGAGAATCCTCTTGTTTCTATCCATTTCTCTCGATGTCATTCTGTCTTTAACACATGCCGACTTCGTCAATACTTATATTTACATAACTTGCATGTCATTGCGGAACAGCATCACCCGCTTGATGCCAAGCGTCCCTTTCATTCAGCCGTTGTCCTTTTTCTTGCTTGTAGAGTCTCTGCTCATGTTTGTCTCACAGCTTGTTCATATTCGTTCTCCATTCCAAATTCAAAGGGTTTCCATCGACCGTGGTCGTCAAGTCCTGCAGCACATCGCGCATCTTGGCGTCTGCTGGCATGATGCCAACTCCCTGATAGCTCCAGGCTTCATGTCCTGCCACAGACTGGAGTGGAACAACCTGCAAGTGACTGGAACCAGGTCATACACGTCCTATACCACTCCTTGTCCACGGGCAAGAGAAGTTCAAGCCGCTACAGCTGGATGGCCAAGTACACACAACAGATGTCCACACATGCATACGCAAATGCTATCCTGGGAGGGACAGGGAGTCATCTACAAAGACGCATTGATGGGCGCGATGGAAGTTGCCGACTCCCATGTGTACCTCGCTGGTGACTCGATGCCAACCCCGGCAGCAAGTCCAGAAATCACAGAAGGTTTATAACTTGCGTTCTGCGCGAGCTGCACCCAAATAATCTCCAATTAAACTTGGTGATGCTAAAGGACGATCAGCTAGTGCAGGATTGTGATGTCCCGACAGCATTGCAAATAAACTTGACTTGGCCAAGCAGTGTGACATGTTTTTTTCTCGAGTGAAGCTTCGATGCTTGCCAAGCAGCAATTCCCGGCTTTATCTTTTCTCGATCGTACTTGGGACATGCCACCTTATCACCAAACCTCAGCACCATAAGCAACGGCAGTTTGCAGGCTTAAATTTGGTTGGCGCAAAAATGTTGCCAAGAAAAACTCTGTGGTACAGGGCAAAGCAGTTCTACACCAAAGCGCTGCTGAGCAAACAAACAACTGAGCAGACCAAGTCCCTTGACAAGGGGGTTTTCGGATGACATGCGTCGAAACTGCAAGTCCCTCCAAAATCAAAACTACTGTAGAAGCAACCAAACACTGCCACAAAGTAGCCACTTCAAGCAAGGAAAATCAGGAAAAAAACACTAAATTCACTACATTGGCCAAGGCTCTTCTCCAAATTGCTCTTGCACAACTTCATATTGCTTCAAAGTACGCAGGTCAGCTCAAGCTTTGTTTCCTTCATTACTTCTGAAAAAGTGTGCGTAAGGGCGGGAGACCTGTCACTGCGGAAGTTCCTCAAAATACCATGCGTGCAGAGATCTTCATATGATGCTGTTCCTTGTTTATCATGAGCCAAAGCTGCAAAAGTCACCAAAAACTTCCCAAGAATGCAGCGGGATGAAACTATACATGAACGGGCTTCTCTGGACAGGTACGAAACACGTTGAAATTGTGCATATAGTTAAGTTATATTGCTGCGCCTAAGATAGAGCTGTGCCAACTTGCCAAGCGCTGCACTCTAACCTGGTGTATGCACTCTAACCTGGTGTAGATGTATCTTGCGCTCGCATGGTCCTGTACAGTCTTAATGCTCCGTGAGGGGATTGTGGAAAGTTATCATGGCACTATCACACTGAATCGATGAAACACAAAAACAATCTGTCCTTGCCACCTTGCAATCTGGTGCCAAACTGTCCAGAAGGAACAAACAAGTTGATATTATTGGAACCAACCTTGGTCTTGGAGCGCCTCTGAAACAATGCAAAAAAAAACACATTTTGCTGCCGTCGTCAAAGAATCACAGACTAGCGACATTGTCAAGCGTTAGGCTGTATCATACTTTATCAACGAGCACATGAAATTCTGATCCCTCCTAGCAGGAGAAGAACGATGACTCCCCGACAAAATTGAACCAAAATCTTCGCATGTCTTCATTTCTTCGCACTGGAATGTCAATACGGCAAATTCTGTGCCATTGGTTGCGGCTGAGTTGCGAAGTCCTGCGCCATGCCGACAATGGTACCCTGCCTGGAAAGTTGTCAGGTTTGAATCATTCACGGCCTCTAGCCCTGCCACCCCATTCTGTGGTGTCAAAGTGGAGAACACATATACTACCTATACCTAACTAAAATCTCAAACAAAACAAAATATATAAATTATAAATGATACAAAATGCAGATAAGGTCTGCACAAAGACGTTTCACCTTAGATGCGGTGATGTTGGGCACAACTTGATACAACTGGGCCTGTGCATGTGAGACTGACCCAACTGCTCTTTGGTAGTGCTGCCGTCAGCAACCATTACCAAGGAGAAGAGCAATGTGTATTGCTGATCCACATCAACGAAGTCTGACGCTACAGTTACAGTATTCGGTTTTGACGCTTATGAACCATCTCAATGGGGCTGTGATACTTTCGGACTCACTTGATCGCTTACAAATGGTCTATGAACAAAATGTCAGAGAGTTCCCGCCATCATGAGTCCAAGCTGCCGTGGTGATAAGCACTGTGTTCTGCGACATAGCCAGCCTGGAGAGAGAAGGAGCATGAAGAGATACCAGGACATCATGAGACCGAGGTACCACCCTGGAAACACGGAACGGACATCCCGTAGACGTGCAAAAAACAAAAAGTGCCATCCCATATAGCATGCCAAGGTCTATAACGTACTGGCATAGATGCCATGAGATGACAAAGAGTCTGAGGGCATTGCAAACTGAGCAACCTTGATGTCAGACCTAGCCGAGTCAACAGTGCCAAAGACGCAAAATCACACAAACTTCGACCTCCGCCCGCACCGACGGTGCCGAGGCGTGGTAGTTCAGCAGCGAGCGATACGAGGGCCCAACTTCAGCCCAACATTACCAATTGCTCAAGTTGGGCCAAGTTGGAGCCAACTGGCCCGAGTTCGGCGAAAGTTAGGCCCAAGTTGGGCCGAAGT